TTAAGAATTTCTCATTCTCCACTCCTAACTCTGATGCTGCATGCTTAGGTCACTAGGGTTAACAGATTGCCACCTGCTCTCTGTATCCTTTTGATGTTCATGTATGCACATGTGTATGTATCTACATCTGCATGTATTAGTCCATTTTCATATTGTTATAAAAAACTGCCTGAGACTGGATATTTTATAAAGGAAAGAGGTTTAATTGACTCACAGTTCAGCATGGCTAGAGAGGCCTCAGGAAACTTACAATCATGGTGGAAGGTGAAGGGGAAGCAAGGCACCTTCTTCACAGAGTGGCAGGAAGAAGAATAACACAGGAGGAACTACCAAACACTAATAAGACCATCAGATCTTATGAGTACTCACTACCATGAAGAACAGCATGGGGAAACTGCCCCCATGGTTTAGATATTACCTGCACCTGGTGTCTCCCTTGACACATGGGAATTATAAGGATTATGATTCAAGATGAGATTTGGATGGGAACGCAAAGCCTAACCATATCAACGTATATTCACTCTTTTAAAATAATTTATATTAACATTTTGTTAATCTGCAATGTGTTTTATTTCATTTAACAATATGTCATGGGTAAATTGTCATATCAACACAAACAGACCCAATGCGTTAGTTTTAACAACTGCGTTGTATTCCATAGTGTAGGCATACCGTAACTCATTCAACCATTCCCTTAAGGACCATGGTTTCCAGTATTTCTTCTCTTGTAAATAATGCTGCAGTAAACATTTTCATATGAATATTATGGATCTTATTATTTGCTGATGCTTTTTACTGCTATATTTTAGAAGGAGTTCATTACTTTTTATTTACAAACTAAACATATCGTATGAATCCTTAGATTGATAGAATCTCACAGGTCCTTGGTCCATTTTGCCTGACTGAGAATAAATAAATTCGCATATTCAAACTTACACACATGCATGGGAACATGGAAAGCTTGTGCAGGCCCCATAATTTGTCCCAGCTCCATGTCTTAACTCATTGCACACCACACCCCATCGCTAATTCTCCTTACCCCCACTCGCCCTACTTCTGCAGTGGCCCTCTCTGTGTTCCTACGATAAAATTTGTTTTGAGGCCAAGTTCAAACTCATCTCCTGAAGGCTTTTTCTACTATCTTCCACCTTGTATGCAGAAAATGTCCTCCTGTTGTATGATCCAATAGCACATCCTCTGTCTCTCTGATGTAGCCCTTTCTCAGTCTGCTTTGTGCAGAATCTGCCCTTGCACAAGTCTACAACCCCTAATAAGTCATGAGTCTTTTGGTGGCAGAAATCATCTCGGCAGAATGCAACAGCTGCAGGCAGGAAAATCTCAGAGAAATGTTGATTGAGTTTGGAGAATTTGCCTAAAAATAGAAGAGTCAGAGCCCAGTGTCTGCCTTTTAAGCCTTAAGTTATAACTAAACACAGTTATTGTGGCAGTTTGGGGAGCAGCTTCCCAGATAAGACAATCGCATGCTGTGTGTGTGTTTTTGAACTTATGGACCTTTTTAAAATATTTTTAACTTCTAGAACAGGGGTCAGTGAGCTTTTTTTTTTTCTAAAGAGCCAGATGGTAAATATTTTAGGTGTGGCCAGCTGTAAAGGTCTCTGCTACAACTAGTCAGTTCAGCCCTCGTAGTGAAAGCAGCCCTAGACAGTAAGCAGAGAAGTGAGCGTGGCTGTGTTCTAGTGAAACTTTGTTTACAGAAAAAAGCAATGGGCAGGATTTGACTTATGGGGCATGGTTTACTAACTCTTGTTCTAGAAGGTGTCTAGGTACAGTTAGACTAACCTGAATTAAGTTCAAATCCTAGTTCTTCTACTTATTATGTGACTTTGAGCAAGCTTCTTAACCTGTCTTTTTGAACACATAAATAGAGGATTAATATTTCCTCCTTCATGTTAGGCATCTGTTTCAGGGCCTACCACTTAATGAGCACAGTATTGTCTTGTTAAGAGGAATGGAAGCCTAGTAATAGAGTAAGAGAAGATGCAGGCCCTTTCTTCCAACCGGAAGTAGAAAATCCTAAGGAAAGAGCACGTTGAAAAACAATGGATAGCAAAGACTCTTGGGTAACAGTGACAGCTTTTGCCTTTAGGTCATATGCACCTCTTTATGTAATAAATCAGGTATAAACAGATACACAGGTCTCTTGACACTTGCAACAGCAACAGCAATGCTATTAATAAAATACATTGAAGATTGTTTAGGATGCCCGGAGCTATGATGACTATATAAAAGCTATGGGCCAGGCTTCAGGAGGAATAATTGGTGCAACAGTAGTACATCCCTGGAGATTTAGACAGAGATTGAGACTATTTTAGCCAAAACATAAATGAAATATTAATCTTTGGCTCATGACCGGCCTACTCATTTTCAGACATATCTACTGTCTATATGCAGTGGATTCTTTTGAGATGCAGACTCCTCTGTGACTTTTCCCACTGCCCACAAGATGAAGTCCACATCCTCGCGAGAACCCATGCAAGGCCCTCCATGGCTGCTTTCAGCTTGTTCTGTCAAGCTACCTTTCGTTGCATGGTGCTTCAGCCAAATAAGTCGATTAGCTTATTCGGGTTCTCAGAACACTTCCCCATCCCAAGTTACTTCTGCTCGTTCTGTTCCACCCTAATTCTCAAGACCTTTAGAAACCCATCAGTTACCCCCATCTTCATTCTCTAAGACCCCACTGGCCCAGCAACAGTCAAGTCTCTGCCTGTGACTTCCCTTTATCCATGCCTGCCATAAATAACCAGTAAACTGTACGTTATTGGAAGGTGATGTGTAAAGCAGGAGGAAACCTGGGTTTGGAGTCCAAAGACTTGAGATTGGACTTCATTTTGGCTCCATTAAGACCTGATTTTGGCTCCATTATCGACCTACTTTGTACCCAAGATGGGGCAGGTTGTTGAATGTCTCTGAGACCAGTCTCTCAATTTATAAAACAAGAATACTATCCCAACCTTGTAGAGTTTTTGTGAGAACGAAATGGGGAATGAAAAGACTAGGAGTCCTTAGTAGGTGCCTACCTCCTGGGAGTTCCCAGGAAATGCTAACTGGATCTGAACTGCTCATAGGGTTTGGCCTGGCGTATGTCCCTACTGATGTGATCATTTGAAAGCAAGACTGTACTGAAATATACCCAGGACCAACTGAAGAACTTCACATTAGAAAAAAGAAAAAAAAAAAACCCAAAAACTTTATTTGATTTATTTTAAAATGTTCTTTAAAATACCCATCAAAGTTTTGTATGTGGCAGACTGGCTTCTGTTTTTTAACTTTGTGAGATAGAAGCAAGATCTTGATTAGCATATATTGCAGAAGGGTGCTTTAAGATGGCTTGAAAATCAACCTGAAGATTCATAAAATTTGTAAAATTGAGGGGGAAATACCTAAAGATTTGCCAAAAATCATGTAAGCAGAGCTGAAATTGTTCTTTCCCCTGCCCCAAATTATTATTTGCAAAATGGCTGCACTGCACTACTTAGCACACGTGCTGTGCTTCCCAGCATCCTGTTTGACCCGTGCACTCTACCAGACACTCACTGCTTACATTTAAGCCACCTTTCTATAGTTTATATTCTCTCCTACAAGAATGCAAATATCAAAGCATGATATAGGCAAAAAAAGAATGTAAACAAATCCCGATGATACATATGTTGAATATAATTAAAATTATACATATTGAATTGATGAGAATATTACACACATTTTTATGCATGTCCATGATGCATAAGCGTTTTTACACTGGTTTTTAACATACTATTTCACTAGTTGCTCTGAACAACCCAGTGAGGCAGGTACTGTGTCCATTTAACAGATTGGAAGCTAAGATTGAGCATTTAAATATTCACTCTGGATCACAAACCTAGGGGCTGTGTCCTAGGTGTGAACTCAGGTTGTCGCACACTGAATGTGCTGTCTCTGCATTGCCCCCCAGGTGATTAAGTACATATGTTTTAGTATGCTCCACAGTAGCCTTGTAGGACCTATGGTAAAGTCCAAAGTTGGGACTTCAACAAAAATTTTCTCCGTTTCTTGTCTTTTTGATAAAAAGCCTTGATGAGTAAGAGATATCTAACTGATAGAACCTTTCTGGCATGATATACTTGTGTAAACTTATAAATAAACATAGATACAATTATCTCCAATTATGTAAGTCATTTAGGTTTCTACGTAGGGTTTTGGTAACTGAATTAGTTTCCTCATCTAACACAGAAATTAAAACAGTACTTCCATGACCAACTCAAATGCTTGTCAGTGAAAATGAAATGAGAGACTTTCTGTTCAAATACAGTAAGAAAATACATGTGCAAAGCAAGATATAAATTTCATTAAAATATATACAAATAAATTACTTGATTACCTCACAAGCTTATCTACCTAAAATTAATTACTGACTAATTAGCAACCCTGGAAAAGTTTTATTGTAGAAACTTCCATATTCATTATAAAGTCTGAGCCTCAAGTTTTAATGAAGTTCCATGATAAAAGAATAACAAAATTAGGCCATAGTACATACTGCAGCATCTTAAAAGTTAATTAATTCCCTGACATTCAGCAATGTAACTAAATTACTTTGTACAGTTGTTTGAGCACAGTGTCTATAATCTTCTGATTAAAATAATGAGCCCCAAAGTCATCAGTAGCAATTATTATTTACTTACCTACCATCCCATCACCCACCATCCTGCCAACTCCTCCTCAGAATCTGAAGAGATTATTCTCCAGAGAGTTTTTGAAACTTTTTGCTGTAATAGAATGAGGGGGGGAAAGCTTTTTAAACTTCAGGGTTCAAAGTCAGAGTTTCTGAACAGAAGTGTGTTTTTAAAGTCTTAAACTTAAAATTCTAACAAGGCTCTGTGCAGCAAAATACCTGCCAATTCACTATTGTTTACCCTGCAGTTTCTATTTAAATTTGTGCTGCTATCATGATTTCTTCCTACCTCACAGGATAATGAATCTAGATTTTATTTCTGTTCTTTGCCCAGACTTGTACAGCAGGCAAAGTGTTTGAAAATCAAAGGAAAAGAAGATATTGACTTGGATAATCTCTTCAGAGGTAAACACAAAAACACTAGCAAAAACACAGAATCTACTTTTTGTTGTGCAGAATGTCTTATTTGTTTGACTGTTTGGTTTTAGCATTCCAGCAGGGAATGGTGGAAAAAGCCTAACTAGAGTCAAGAGAGACTTGTGTTCTGGTTCCCACCCTGCGAGTGAGTCCCTTCACTTCACTCCTCAAACGTTCATTTTCTCATGTTAAAAGTTAAAGGGCTGGACTCTATGATCTCTATGGGCCCCACTCACGATAGGAAACGTGTAAAGCTGTAGAAGTTAGAGGTTCAGTGGTTGAATCCCCCTCTGCCATCTGCAGAGGCCATGGAGGGAAACCAGGAGTGTCTCACTGCACTTGTGAAGGTGGGAGACTGTGAGATGCACCTCATTAGTAAGAAAGGCTAGAAGGGTATTAGGCAAAATATTGAACCATCAGAGCTGAGGAATCTGTTGGAGTCCAGGAAGAAGAATTGCATGTGTTCTTTTAGTTACGTTTCTTCCCAGTGAAGGCTCGATATAGACAGAATTTTGAGGTTAGATTATATTGTAGCAAGCTAAGGAATCAGTTTTCCCTGGGTTCTGTTTTGATTTAGTCGGATGCAAACATTGATAGTTTCTTACTAGTGTCCCGCCTGCAGCCTTGGTAGCTCTGTACATTTGTGTCTCCCGGAAGAGGTAGGAGATCTGTCTGCCTTCTAGACGAAAGGAACATTGCTAAACTTTCTACTGACCTGGTAGAAGTCCAGTGAATTAGCACACTGTGCTGGACTGTGCCATCTCCAGTTACCCGTCGGACTTTTCGTAAGAGAAGGAGAGGGTGCTTGGCAGTCATTGAACAAAAGGGCCGGGACGTCAGTGAGCAGTGCTGAACTGCTCACTTTAGGCAGAGATGGAGCTCTTGCTTGTGTTGTCTTCGAAGGATTGTGGATTTCATCTCAGCCACACAAGGCCTTTTCCTCAGAAAAGAGAGGGCAGTTGAATTACTTTGGTTTTCATTGTACAGCTACATGTTTCTCCCTCGTAAGAAGAATTTCTATGTAATATAACCAGAGCTCAAGCTTGCTTTAAATAAAATAAATCACTGATGTTTTAGAAACTGTTCCATACAAATGTTCTCATCCATCTTACCAAGCCTTCATTCTGTAAATGGCATGTTTTGGAACCATGTAAGAAGCCTTAAAAAAAGTGCCAGTGTTTTAATTCATAGTTTGACACTTTTGAAAATATCTCCACAGAGTAATTATGTATATGTTCTTGTTCAAACAGATACACAATTTTGTAGTTCATATCATAAATGTAGTAATGAAGATCATCCTTACAAAAATAGAAAATGTCATAGCAAAATGCATTTGCATACTGTGAAAGATGAAATCTCTTCCAAGATGCTCAGAATGCACTTGCTCGTTTCTGCATCATGTTTAAGAAGTTTACACCCATATGCTTGTATTTATTCATGCATTTACTGTGCTCTTTAATTTAAACATATCCTCGCAGCAGAGGTCTTTGTTATCAGATATGGCATTTATGTCAGAAGAGCGTGCAGTGGGAGGAGCAGTCGGCCTTAGGTGGAGCACACGGCTGCCTGTGGACCCAGACCACCGTGTGTTGGGGAAGTGCAGGCGGGGTTCATTCCATCCCATGAAATTGGCAGGCCGTGGTTAGCACCTGCTTTCTAGTTTAGCCTTTTGTCAACCAAAGTGGCTCTTCCTTGTATGTCTGGAGTCCCCAACACCTATGCCACAGACCGATCTGTAGACTGTTAGGAACTGGGCTGCATAACAGCAGGTGAGCAGAGGGCAGGCGAGGGAGCAAAGCTTTATCTGCATTCACAGCTGCTCTCCATTGCTCATATGACCACCTGAGCTCCGCCTCCTGTCAGATCAGCTGCAGCATTAGATTCTCCTAGGAGCACGAACACTGTTGTGACCTGCACGTGTGAGGGATCTAGGGTGCGTGCTCCTTATGAGAATCTAACGCCTGACGATCTGTCACTGTCTCCCATCACCCCCAGATGGGACTGTCTAGTTGTAGGAAAACAAGCTCAGGGCTCCCACTGATTCTATGTTATGGGGAGTTGCATAGTTATTTCATTATCTATTACAATGTAATAATAATAGAAATAAAGTGCACAATAAATGTAATGTGCTTGAATCATCCCAAAACCATTCCCCCACCCCGGTCTGTGGAAAAATTGTCTTCCATGAGACCAGTTCCTGGTGCCACTAAAGGTTGGGGACCTCTGTACTATGGGACTAATCCCCATTATTACAAAGTTTATTTGCTTTGGTTCTGACATGGATAAGACAAAATAATGAAAAAAATAATGTTCTTACAGTGATATTAAACAATTATTTAATATTTTCTTTTATTTTTCTTCAGCCTGTAAATCTGATCATAATATCCCACATCCATGGCCTTCCTTTTTTTCCCTTTTTTTTTTTTTTTTTGAGATGGCATCTCCCTCTGTCACCCAGTCTGGAGTGCAATGGCGTGATCTCTGCTCACTGCCATCTCTGCCTCCTGGGTTCAGGTGATTCTCCTGTCTCAGTCTCCCGAGTAACTGGGATTATAGGCTCGCAATGCCACACTCAGCTAATTTTTTGTAGTTTAGTAGAGACGAAGTTTCACTGTGTTGCCCAGGCTGTTCTTGAACTCTTCAGCTCAGCTAATCCATCCTTCTCGGCCTCCCAAAGTGCTGGGATTACAGGCATGAGCCACTGCACCCAGCCTTCCCCACCCCGCCTTTTTTTTTTTTTTGGTCTCGGCATAGATTTGAATGAGTGCCTTCTTCATTCATCAGGAGTCTTTTATTTGTTTATTTATTTATTATTTATTTATTGATTGATATGAAGTCTCGCTCTGTCACCCAAGCTGGAGTGCAGTGGCGCGATCTTGGCTCACTGTAACCTCTGCCTCAGGGTTCAAGTGATTCTCTTGCCTCAGCTTCCCGAGTAGCTGGAACTACAGGTGTGCACCACCAAACCCAGCTTACTTTTGTATTTTTAGTAGAGACGGAGTTTCACTATGTTGACCAGGCTGGTCTCAAACTCCTGACCCTGTGATCCACTCACGTTGGCCTCCCAAAGTGTTGGGATTACAGGCGTGAGCCACTGTGCCCAGTCAGGGTCTTCTTTTTTTTTTTTTTTTTAAGGAAAATGGGCTAAAATTTGTGCTCTATTTCATCTATGAGGGGAGGTTGTATACACTGGATTTTTAGAAATTGTATACACACATGCATACATTCACACGCAGATTCTGTTTTTTATATCTTGGGCATGTTTTCCATTTTTACTGGAAAAAATCATTTTTTAAAAATCATTTTATTTTAAAAATCATTTTATTCGCCATATATATCTTGGCATACTTAATAAAAATATTTTAAAGACTACTCATTATTTTCAAGTATAATTCTTAGCTACTGAACACACTTTTTTCAATGTGTAAGCATATATCACAATAATTTATAAACATAAGATTGGATAAACATATGTAACAACAATAATATATAAACATAAGATTGGATGATAGAAATTTTAATTACTTTGTAATGCTAAAATTCTGTAGAGGAAACCATGATTATGTTAAAAGGATGTTGGTTGTGCATAACAGGAGCAAGTTGAAACTTGTCTTACTAATCCAAGGTTTACAGGTAAGCTTATTGAGTGTTACTCCTAAGACATGACAGTGAAACAGTGAAATTCTAATGAAATATAAACATATTCAAAGAAAAAATAGCCAACCATAGAAATGCTGACCCTACTTCCATTCAGGATTCTAGGCGTGCAACCAGGGAACTTAGTGACGACAAGCTCTTTGATGTAAATGAAGAAAGGGGTTGTTGTGAACAGCATGAAGATGTCCCACAGAAAGTGATACTGGCAAAACAAACAAACAAACAAAAAACAAAACAAACAAAAAAAAAACACTTCACATTAAAGGAACTCTCAGAGATATTTCACAGCATTGTAAGTGCAAAGAATAAAATGTTAGAAGTGAATCTAACTTAAATTTAGGAATATGACAGTTTACCAAGCAATGGAAAAGATGCTCTCTTCATTTCACAGTTGTAGGACAAAAAGAAAGCAAACACTCCTTGGACAACTCTTGATAAGTTTTTTTTTTTATTAACAAAGAAATAAAACACCTTATCTCAATGTATTACATGTTATAAACCACAGCATACTAATTAAATATTACTTTCACTAGTTTTAAATTTTCCCTAAGTATTTATGATGGGCAGTAAAAGAGTTGTTAATATTTTGACCAAAATTTGTGAAGGTCATGAGAAAAGAATTACAATTTTCCCCATTGATTATTAAGCTCAGTTTGCATGGTTTCAGCTTGCATCATCAATTTTATAGCCCCTGACTACCATGCCAAGTGAGAACTCGCTATGTTTTATTGAGGACTGTTTCAAATATGTTCGTAGGAGAAGTTGATCTGTAATTTTCCTTCTTGTAATGTCTTCATCTTGTTTTGATATTCCCTCTTTCTCCATTATCACCATTATCACCAAGAGGTGTTATGTAAGATTCACAACATTTATTTTTTAACCGTTTAGATGAGTTCACAGACAGGAAAGCTATCTGAGCCTAAAGTTTTTTTATTAAAAGAATTTTAATTGTAGATTCAATTTCTTTAATAGATTGAGGACTTTAGATTTTTAAAATTTCTTCTTGTGTTAGTTTTTCTAGAAATTTATATATTTCTTCTAGGAATTTGTATATGTCATGTAAATTTTCAAGTCTGTTGCTATAGAGTTGTTTATAATCCCCTCTGATGAGCTTTTTGTGTCTGCAGATTCTATAGTTATGTCCCTTTTTCATTCTTGAAATTGATGTTTATGTGCTCGTGCGTTTTCTCTCTCCCTCTCTCTCTCTCACGCTCTCTCTCTGGTTTTGCCTCAGTCTCTTTCAATTAATCCTGCTAAAGATTTACTGATCTTTACAATGGACGAATTTTTGGCTGTGTTGATTTTCTCTAGTGTGCATTTGTTTTCTCTGT